GGCGTCAATTACAAATATGGGATGAGGCATTTACATGACGGATATGTCAGAACAAAGACCTATATTAAGCATATATATAGTATATAAAAATATATATATATATATATATATATATATCCTCTTTGAAAATTTTGCTGGGACCTGGAAAATATCAATAATGGCGCAATGTAAAAACATGGACATATATTGCAGTAAAGAGGTCTGTAAATCTCAGAAGAGCGAAAATTCCAAATATTTCGGTTCTGAAAGATGCGGTTAAGATCTTCAAAATACCCGTTGAGAGCCCAGCAACTTTTATTTGAAAAAGGGATAGTACCCTTATATGGAACATTCAAAAATATAGACCAACATGATAAATTATCTTCTAAAAACTTGAAATTTCATATTAAGCCCATTTGATTGAAAACCAAGTGAAAAAGCATTAAGTTCGGTCGGGCCGAACTTTGGATACCCTCCACCCCAGGTATACTGACAGATATTTGAAATGAAAACGTGGACCGATATTTATAATTTTTAATAGAGATATTTGGTACCCAATAAGAACCCAATGTACCAAATTTCAGCGAATTCGGTTGAAAAGCGCGCTCAAGAACCCCAAAATACCGAAAATTGGGGGGTACCCTTATATGGGGGATATCCGAAAAAATTGACCTATATTTATAATTTTTTGTGGAGAGATTTGGTACCTACTAAGAACTCCAAATACTAAATTACAGCCAATTCGGTGTAAAAATACGATAAAAGCCCCCAAAATACTAAAAATTATGAGGTACCGTTATATGGGGGCTACAAGAAAAAGTGTATCTATATTTATAATTTTTTGTGGATACATTTACTTACTACCCATAAGAACCCAATGTACCAAATTTCAGCGTATTCGGTATAAAAACGCGCTCAAGAACCCCAAAATACCGGAAATTGGGGGGTACTGTTATATGGGAGCTATACCTAAACGTGGACCAATATATCCCATCTTCGAACTTGACCTGCCTGCAAATAAAAGACAAACCTATGAAAATTTTCAGCACCCTATCTCAATTCCTTCAAAAGATAGCGTGATTACAACAGACGGACGGACATGGCTAGATCGTCTTAGAATTTTACCCTGATCAAGAATATAAATACTTTGTAGGGTCGTAAATGAATATTTCGATGAGTTACAAACGGAATGACAAAATTAATATACCCTCCATACTATGGTGGAGGGTATAATGAAACTAAGGCTAATGTGATCGAAAGCCGAATTGTGCTGTAATTATTTTTTTCGAATTGTGGAAAGAAACATTCATCGACTCTAGATTGTGGGCCACTGAATTCAAAATTTTGATTTTTATCCTTTTTTCTTATCAGGATAAACGACAGGATCAATTTTTGGACTGTTGCCGTATGTTCAAACTAGCACTGCTCGGGTACAGGTTTTTTAGATGATTTATTATCGTATTATAAGTGTGACCCTGGGGTAAAAAAATGAATAGAAATTCTGCTAGGACCTTCAAAGTACTTAAACTCGGTCGGAGTCGGTCAATTTGCGTTATATCAAAGCATGTTAGTTTGCATTGTTAGGGGAAGAATAAAAAGGTTCCCTTAGGAGTTTTTTTTTTTTTTTTTTTGTATTATTTCAGAAACGAAATGCCAAATCAGAAAATGCCTCTAGGACTTATATTTCAAAACATAAAAATATATTGAAAATTTTCGCTCAAGAAGTTGGTTGGACAATGTTATCAGGACCAATAGCAAAATGAGGAAGTAACATTCATATGCAAAGTAAGTCGAAACATGGTCCCATAATGAACGTTTTCTGTCAGGAAGTCCGATCACCAAATCGTTTTTTGGTCCCATTTCAATACATGGGTCTATGTTAAAAAAAATTGCTGCGAGGATGTATTTTAGCCTCCAAAATTTGAAAGAACACAGTACAATATGTATGTTGAAACCGAAGGGGTTCGCATCCTCCATTATATCTGAATAGGTAAAAAATAGCTCTCACAAAAAGGTGGACCGATATACAGTGAGTGTAATAAGTATTTTGCCTCAATAAAAATTTGAAAAAATTCCAATATATACGCCTAAAGCCATCAAACTAAAGATGTAAAATGAATTATGAATGATGGAGTACGTTTGTGGACATATTTAGATCGTATTTCTACAAGAATCACAGCGAAAGATCTATTGGTCTCGAAGATATCGGCCTAAATATATAACAACCCAAAAATGTTTATCACAAAAAAGTATTTTGCTTTTTATTATTATTTTAGAAAAAATTGTTACATAGAACTCGTTTGGTCTTTTTATAGTTACCATTGCGGGTAACGACATACTATAAGTGATTTGGCAACGATTCCAATAAACCACGGCATTTTCGCGAGTATTTTCTCTCACATTTACATTCTATACATTCTCCAGCAATATTTCATTTAATATTTGGTATTTTCTCGCCCTAATCTTAAGATGAGAGTATTAAACATAGTCATTGCGGCTTCAAAACATCCCAAATATGTTTAGAATAATAAAAAAGAGGTTTTGTAAAATATAACGCGAGGACAGAACCTTAAAAACTATTAAAACAAAAATCCAACAAACAATTTTTTTAAAAAAATTCGCGAAACCCAATTTTTCTGACTTCGAAATTTGTATGGTCCAGTAATATAGATCTAGGAACCAATATATGCAATAGAAATACCAATAAGGGGGTCAGATTCAAATATATGAACAGTTCTAAAGCAATAGTAATAAAATGCAATACATGAAGTTGGGAGAAAACATCATTATTCGTCAAATCCTACTGTCTTTTGAAAAACTGTGGTTGCTGGTGGCGAATACGCATTCTATATTTTATCTCCGATTAACACCATCAGTTGGGAATAAAATGCAGTAGGGAATAAACGGGTCGATCTATTTATTTTCGAAATAAGATGTATTTCTATTGCCAGAAAACCGTCCATAACATTGAATCTGACCTCCTTATTGGTATTTTCATGGTATATTTTGGTTCCCAGATCAGTAATAATGAACCATAAAGTTTTCGAAGATAGAAAAAAATGGGTTTCGCGATATTTTTTTAAATAATTTGTTTGTCGGATTTTGGTTTTAATAGTTTTTAAGGTTCTGTCCTCGCGTTATATTTTGCAAAACCTCTTTTTTATTATTCTAAACATATTTGGGATGTTTTGAAGCCACAATGACTATGTTTAATACTCTCATCTTAAGATTAGGGCGAGAAAATACCAAATATTAAATGAAATATTGCTGGAGAATGTATAGAATGTAAATGTGAGAGAAAATACTCGCGAAAAATGCCGCGGTTTATTGGAATCGTTGCCAAATCACTTATAGTGTGTCGTTACCCGCAATGGTAACTATAAAAAGACCAAACGAGTTCTATGTAACCATTTTTTCTAAAATAATAATAAAAAGCAAAATACTTTTTTGTGATAAACATTTTTGGGTTGTTATATATTTAGGCCGATATCTTCGAGACCAATGGATCTTTCGCTGTGATTCTTGTAGAAATACGATCTAAATATGTCCACAAATGTACTCCATCATTCATAATTCATTTTACATCTTTAGTTTGATGGCTTTAGGCGTATATATTGGAATTTTTTCAAATTTTTATTGAGGCAAAATACTTATTACACTCACTGTATATCGAATACAAAAGCATCTAAACATCTTCCTTTCTATAATATTCCTATAATGAAATTAATAGACAGGAAGATTGATCCTGGAAGAACATCAATTTTGTATTAACCAATGTTACTCCAAGGTATTAAATGTCATGACAAATTATTTCATTACGGAATACAGAATATTTTCTCAATTTGGTTTGAAAAACTGATTTAAATTGTTAATGCATTGTTTTTGGTTTTATGTGGAATTTGAAGCTAAAATAATAGGATTTTTATTGATTTAAATGAAATATAAAAGTTATCGAATCCCGACATTTTATTTATTCGAGCATTAAATAATGCAAACCTATTATTTAAATAATATATATCGTTAGCTAAAATGCAAAAAGGCGTAACTAACAAAAAATTGAAAATTGACTTTTTGAATGAATATTGTGAATGTCAATAAACTACATGTGTTGACAAAATCAATTTCAATTTTTTGTTAGTTACGCCATTTTGCATTTTAGCTAACGATATGCACATATACATTTTGTACTTGCACAATAATAAATGAAATTCCTTATGTCGGATAGAACACAAAATAATGTAAAATATTTTTAAATTATGTAAAAAATTATATACAACATTAAACCACTAATAAATATTACACCATTTTCACATGAAGTACAATAAACGTTCGTTATAAATATATATTGAATTCTTACTATTATTTAAAATTTTAAAATATTTTATTTCAAATAGCCCATATTTATACGAGGCTAGGCTCCTCCAAGTCTACCATGTAATAATAAAAAGAAGAAAGAAAATTGAGAATGTCCAGATTTATTCGAATTTAATCATTGTAAAAGGAAATGTGAAAATAGTGTAGATAACATTGCAAATAAATAAACAACAAATATTAAATAACAATAAATCTTTGTCATTTCAACATACAAAGAAAATCAAAAGGCCAATTAATGATAATGGAATATTTTCTGGAAAAAATCTCCCACAACTCTTAAATAAACAATCATCATACACAGAGAGTTATGCGAAAAGAAAACAAAAAAAATAAATTTTTAAAAATAATTAAATAACATTTACTTTCTCTTAGTGTATTGAAGATTTCACATTACTTTTAACTTAAAACGCATCAAATTTCCTACAATAGTTTTAAACATTTCTAAATTTCTTTTAAATTTTACATCTGAATAGATTTCAATTGGCCTTCGATCATCACAAAACATACATTTTGTGATTTTTGTTAGCTGTGGGAGTTTTGATGATTTTTTGATTCTATTTCTCTTTATATCGAATTCAGATGCAGTAAAATTTTTCTCATTTTACTGTTGTCTATCTTCATATCGATAATTTTTTTGTGGGGATTGAAATTTGAAATTACTGCATTTTCTTTTCCTCATGAGCCTTTTTAACAATGGCCAATTTGGAGTGAGGTGATGCTGGTGACAGGGTGCGATAGGGTGCCTCCTTTGTGCCATGCAACACCAGAGACCAATCGATTAACCAGCCAGAACGGGGTTGATTTGAATTGAAACGGGCCTAGAAAAGAAAATATTTTTAATTGAAATTAAACAATAATAATTGTACTAGATGTACCTCCAATTTCCATGTACCATGAGGATATTCACCCCATGAATGAGTTGTCATGAAAGGCCATTTTGTGAAACCATCACGATGATCATCATCATTGGCGCGTCGTGATAGAATCATTGATCTGAAACAAAAAATTTAAATGTTAATGTGAGTATCAGTTTAGTCATAAAGAAACACAAATATTTTTGCTGTCGGTCCAAAGAAGTGTGTAGCGACACATTTATATATAAACGAACGGAAGAAACTCTTGCTACGCGAATTGAAGGCTGGGAATCTTAAATAGTCGTGCTGAAGGCCAGAGGCTCTTTACAGACAAGTCGAAGGACAGGATGTCTCATTATCGACGAGCTGATGGGCCAGTATTCTCTCATTAACACGTTAAAGAGCAAGGACTTTCTCGTAAAGATGTTGAAGGACAGGAAGAACTGAGGGCAGGAAGCTTTACATAGACGAGCTAAGGAACAGGGAGTTTTTATAGACGAGTTGAAGGTTATTAAGACCTTCATTGTCAAGCTGAAGCCCAGGGAGTCCTTATAGACGTGTTGGACCCCAAGAGGTCTTTAAAGACCATCTGCAGACCAGAGAATCTTTATAGACGAACTGCCGACCAGGGAGTCTTTGTAAACGAGTTGAAATCCAGGGTGTCTTTATGGCCGAGTTAAGGCCCAGGGAGTTTTTATGAATGAATTGAAGTCCAGTGAGTCTATCAGCGTTTTCTTTATAGACGAGTTGGAGTCCAGGGAGTCTTTGTAGTCGAGTTGAAGCCAAGAGGTATTTATAGACCAGGGAGTCTTTATAGACGAACTACAGCCCATTCAGTCTTTATAGACGAGTTGAATCCCAGGGAGTCCTTATGAATGAATTTAAGCCCAGTGTGTCTTTCATCTTCTTGAAGCGACCAGGGATGAGTTGAAGTCCATGAAATCTTTATAGACGAGCTGAAGGTCAGGTAGTCTTTATACACAAGTTGAAGACCAGGAATTCTTTTATGGACAAGCTGAATGCCAGGCAGTCTTTATAGACGATTTAATGTCTGGGAGTCCATATGAATAAATTTAAGCCCAGTGTGTCTTTCATCTTCTTCTTTATAGGCGAGTTGAAGCCCAGGGAGTCTTTATAGACAAGCTGAAGGCTAGTTCGATTTTATAGACAAGCAGAAAGCCAGGGAGTTTTTATAGACGAGGTGAAGTCCGGTGTGTCTTTAAGACGAATTGCAGCCACGGGAGTACTTATGAATGAATAAAGGCCCAGTGAGTCTTTCAACTTGTTCTTTATAGACGAGTTGAATCCCAGGGAATCTTTCTAAACTAGGTGAAGCCCAGGGAGTCTTTATTAATGAATTGAGGGCCAGGGAGACAAGCTGAAGCCCAGGCAAGGGGGTATTTCATAGAAGAGGTGAAGGGAGTCAGTCTATCATAGACGAGCAGAAAGGAGCTGAAGAAGCGAGTATTTCATGGACGTGCTAAAGAAGGGTGTTTTTCATAGACGAGCTAAAGGGAGTCTTTATAGAGTTGAAGCCCAAGGAAATGAAGACCAGGGAGTATTTACAGAGGAGCTGAAGCCCAGGGAAGGGGGTATTTCATAGAGGAGCTGAAGGGAGTCAGTCTAACATAGACAAGTAGAAAGGAGCTGAAGATGCGAGTATTTCATGGAAGCGCTAAAGAAGGGTGTTTTTCATAGACGAGGTAAAGGGAGTCTTTATAGAGTTGAAGCTCAAGGAATCTTTATAGACTAGCCGATGATCAATGAATATTTCATAGAGGAACTGAAGACCAGGGAGTATTTATAGGGGAGTTGAAGGTCAGGGAGTCACTATAGTCGACGTTATGATCAGGGAGTATTTGGTCTTATAAGCGCGAATTTTTTAACAATATTTGTGGTAGAATATTCTGACCTATAAACGTGGATTTTTAAATAATATTTTTGAAGCACTTTCGGTCTTATAAGTGTAGATTTCTAAATAATATTTTTTGAAGGATTTTCGGTCTTATAAGCGAGAAATTTTTAAACAAAATATTTTTGAAGGATTTTTGGTCTTATTTGGATTTTTTTAGGAAACAATGTTTTTTATAAAAAAAGTTTTCTTTATTCCTTACCTTGTACCCATTGGCGATGTTAAGAACAGTTCCAAATCTCCTCTGCGTGATGCATTTGCCGAAATCACAGCCTGGACATGTTCTAAATAGTTTACCTCAGTATCTGTGCCCTTGCAGGCATCCGTTTTGATTTCCAAGAATAAAGAACGGCCAGAATAGATGGGACTAAAAATAAAAACAAAAAATTTAGAATCAACCATTAAATATTTAATCAAAAATCAATTCCTTACTGTGTCTCCGAAATTTCTCCGGCTTCACAGTGATATCGTGGCGGTACGGTATGCCATTGTTTGGCCAGTGTGACCATGCCACCAGCATCTAAGACACCAAAGCCAAACAAATGATTAAACTCCAAGCCAACACCATTCATTGTCCAATGGAAACGATTTTTGGCATCGAACAGAGAATTCCGCTTCGAAGTGAGAACTGTCAAATGTTGAATATCACGCCATGTCAATTCGGGGCTAAATGAAGAAAAAATTAAACAAAAATACAAATTTTAAATTTGTTTTGAAATTTAATGTTATGCCATCTTTAAAACTGTAAAGAGAACGAACGACGTCATTCTTTGTGAATCCAATTTAAGTGCGCGTCCATATGTTGTGCTGTTTCCTTATCAACCAACACAACACACACCATGCCACATGATTTACTTACTTTGCCTCCAAGGCCAATGCAAATACGCCAGCTGCTTCCGGTGCTGCCGCACTTGTGCCCGAATGTGTTGTTGTACACTTGCCATATAAATCTGTTGTTGCCACACCAGTATTGGGATCTTTGGCACCATTACTAAATGTACTGGCCAATGTTGAACTGCAGCTTTCATCGTAATGAGCATTTTGACCATCGTTTATGGCGCTATTAATGGAAATTGTCCACATGGAAGCGGCATAGCCATCACAATTGCAATCATCCTCTTCGCCACCATCACCCGATGCCCAGACATAAATGTTGCCCAAACCATTGCGGCCCTACGGGAAATAAATGAATATATGGGTGTGTGTGTGTGTGAGTGAGTGTGGGTTATTACATTTGGTTACAATTGAACGATTTCCACCCAACAAATGAGAGGGAGGAAGTCTATGAGAATGTGTGTCCAATCTCAAATACTTATTATTAGGTGTCTTTGGTTTTTTTCAGCCCATTATACCCACCTCATTAACACCCTGTACAATTGCACGCATTGTAGCATTACGAGGTCCATCCACTGTTTTGCCATCATCTGTTGGACCCCATGAAGCACTGTAAATGTGAATTTTATGTGGTTCATGGCCCATTGAATTCGCTTCAATCAAATCTGTCATATAAGGTTGATCCAACATGCGAATGCCTTTAAAAGTAAATAAGAGAGACGAGAGAGTGAGAAGGGAATTAAATGTTATAGCTATATAAATGGTTTACCATATTTCCTTACGTATATTTTATTATCTACAATTATTTGTAATCTGACATAACGTCATTCAATTGACAATCCACAGGTTTAATATTTATCTGTGTGGTAGATAACACACACACATGTATGTATTGCTATTTATTGACATTGCACAAGATCTCTCATCAATTTATGGCAAATAATAAAAATCACTTTGCCCATGTTAACATATTTATGGCCATTTTGGTGTAGGTGTATTTGTTTTAATATATCATCGTGAATTGCATAATAGTCCTACTTCGTAGTTTTACATATTCTTGTAAATATTAAAAGGATATATGTAGATGATATTACAAAAAATATAAAATTCTGGAAAATTCATAAGATACAATATAAAAACTTCAACCACAGTAGAGAGAGATTCTTCCACCCCTATTAATAGAAAGTCAGAGGGTCTTCACAGAAGATGTGAAGGCAAGGGAGTCTTTTTAGACGAACTGAAGACCAGGGAGTTGTTTATAGTTAACTTACAGGGATTATTTTACAGACTAGCTGAAGGAAATGTTTTATAGACGATAGTCTTTTATATACGATCTGAAGGCCAGGGAGACTTTGGAGACAAAGTGATGAACAGAGAGTCTTAATAACCAAGCTGAAGGCCAGGGAGTATTCATAGTCGGGCTGAAGGACATGTAGGCTTTATAGAAGAACTGAAGGATAAGGGTTATTTTATATTCCATAGATGCGATTCTTTTATATACGAGCTAAATGACAGAGAGTCTTTCATAGGCGATCTAAGGGCAGACAGTATATATAGAAGAACACAAGACCATAACGTATTTATAGACGATTTGAATGTCAGGAATACTTTATAGGCGAGCTGTAGGCCAGGAAGTCCTACTATACGAGTTTAAGGCCAGAGAGTCCTAAAGAAGATCTGAAGCCAGAGGAGTCTTTATAAACAAGTTGAACCCCAGGCAGTCTTTATAGTCGAGCTGAAGACCAGGGAGTGTTTATCGACGAGCTGAATCCCAGAGAGTCTTTATAGACGATTTGAAGCCCAGAAAGTCTTTCATAAATGAGCTGAAGCCCAGGGAGTCTTTATAGACGAGTTGAAGCCCAGGAAGACTTCATAGACGAGCTTAAGGCCAGAGAGTTTTAATAGCATAGTTGAAAAGTAATAGAGACAGATCAGGACAGATTAGGACTGGGACATTGAATTGAATAACCTTTTCCAAATATGCATAGAATCACCTTCTAAGTCGATTTATGCATAGCCGCGTTAAATTGTGGACAATGTCCATGTCGCATTTATGATCTGCATGGAATGAAATTTGACACAGCACACTTATTTGGCGTAAGGAAATTCGGTTCAGATTTATTATACCCTACACAACTATGTTGTCAGGGTATTATAGCTTTGTGCAGCCCCAAAATTTTGTAACGCCGCGAAATATTGGTCCTAGACACACCTTTGAGTATACCGATCGTCATATCTCGACTAGCTGAGTCGATCTAGACATGTGTGTCCGTCCGTCTGTCCGTTATAATTTGTAAACACGATACAGGCCAATCTTCACGAAATTGTGCATGTAGGATGGGTTCTGGCCAATGAAGACCCCTAATGTTTTTGGAAAAGATCGGTTAGTATTTAGGCGATGAAATGGACCGAAAACTTTATTTTTGTCGGTTTTTCTGATCGCTCCAGAGGCCGCAATTATGGGCCAAACACCGCGAATTTTTGCATAGAGAAGGGGATCGGGCCAAAGAATAAGCATGATAAAGATCGGTCAATATTTAGCGGGTCAAATGAACCCTAACTTTTGTGTGAAAAATTACAAAAAATTTTATTCTATAGCGTATATATTTACCACTGAAGGACATAGACCCGTAAAGTTGATAGTATATCTAAGAGGAGTGGTTGACCTTTGTAGGTACTCGGATGCGAGAGTTACACTTAAATATTTACAAGTGCTTACGTATTCATATATTATTTTGTAACCTATTACCACATTGGAGGGCGGAAATATAGCTGATCGCTTTGAAATGTTCCATGAGGTTCCAGTTATGGTCAAGGACAGCACCTAAAATGTCAGGTGATGATCAGATAATATTTTTCGGATGAAGTGGACCGAAAACTTAATTATTTGTACTTTTCGAGTCGAAAGCCGAACATCACAACACAATCCACGGTGAAGGGAATCTGGACAAGTAATTAGAGGTGCTGTACTGATTATTAGTAACATATGCTGACCTCTAGCCAGTCAAAAGTGTGCAAATATCGCGAAATATTGCCCAATCTCAGAATATACAACCACAGAAAGATAGATTTTCATGGAAATTGTGTAGGGTATCGTATGGTCGGCCCCGTCCGACTATACTGCTCCGCTCACTGGTTTATATATAGCTCCCACATATATGAGTTTTATCCTATTCCCCAATAGTTTATCCAAGTCACAATGCTTGTCCGATTGAGACAAAATTTGGCACAGCGTTTCAGACTTAGCTCCCACATATAATTTCGTCGATTTTATATAAATGGTGAAATACACTCCCAATGTTTGTCCCATATCTATATCTGAGTTCATGTTCGTGTACCAATCGAGATTACATTTTGGACACTATGCTTCTGCATACCATATGGGGCACGACACGTTTGCTCATTTCGGTCCAGATTTTCATATAGCTCCCATGTTCGATTTCGTACAAATAGTACACCAATGAATCCAAGCCTGTCCGATTGTCATGCAATTTTTCATAGATTTCAGAATGTTATGCGTATGGGTCTATTTAAATTGGTTCAAATATATATCTATATTGTAGATATGTAAATTTCTTGTATGTACCCAAAGTGGGTAAAGGTATCACATAGTCTACCTTATCCGACTTTCTTTACTGGTTTGAAAGTTAACATATTACTTTCAAGATCGGATACTCTATCCAATCGCATACCATATTTGATGGAGGACCGAGACCCATCTATTTAAAATAACTACAATGTCTCACAATATCTAACCGACCCTTTGTGAGAGAGACACATAAAGGAGAAGACGCTATTGAAAGATCCCGCACCATGCTTATACCCTCAATCATAACGCGGAGTGCATATTTAATACTGATCAAGAATGTGTCCATATGTTTGTCCATCTGTGGAAATCACGATAGAGTTCGTAATATCATAATGCTCCTAGAATATTTGGCATTGCAAATAGGATATATCGGTATACGTTTTAGAGTAGCCCCCATATAACGATACCCTCAAATATTCGATATTTTGGGAATTTCGGACATTCTGGGTTCTCATTGAGTATCACATATCCGTACCAAAAATTATTAATATTGACCCAAGTTTCAGTGTAGCCCCCATATAACGGTACTCCCCAATGCTCAGTATTTTGGGGATTTCTGAAAGATTTTCAAATCTAATTGACTGTAATTTGGCATTTTGGGTTCTAATTGAATAACATATATCCGTACCAAAAAATATTAATATTTTCTGGATCTAATTCAGTACTCTTTGCAAAATTTTATCCTAATCGGACAAATATTGGGAGTTTGGAGCATCATTCACATAAAATCGGACGAAACTATATAAGGGAGCTATAGATAAATCTACACCGATTCCAACAAAAATTCGCATACATAAGTATGGACCTGATTCAGTACACTGTGCAAAATATTGTCCCAATCGGACAAATATTGGGAGTTTGGTGCATAATTTAGATAAAATCGGACGAATCTAATTCAATACTCTGTGCAAAATGTTGTCCCAATCGGACAAATATTGGGAACGAAACTATTTATGGGAGCTATATCTAAATATAAACCGATTCCAACAAAACTTTGCATACATAAGTATGGACCTGATTCAGTGCGCTGTGCAAAATGTTGTCACAGACCGACAAATATTGGGAGTTTGGTGCATCATTTAGATAAAATCGGCCAAAACTATATATGGGAGCTATATCAAAATCTGAACCGATTTTCCGATTTTTTTTCAATAGGATTCGTCCTTGGGCCAAATAAGTGACTTGTGCCAAATTTAATCCAAATCGGATCATAAATGCGACCTGTACTTTGTTCACAAAATGGATGGACGGACAGACGGACATGCATATATCGTCTCAGAAAGTGATTCTATGCATATTCTCAAAAGGAACCATGGGTCAACCTCACTTCCTTTTGCCTGTTACAAACATATCCACAAAGACATAAACCCCTGTACCACAGTATGGTGAAGGGTATAAAAATAATAATACTGATCCAATTTTAAGGGTAGCCCACATATGGGGATGTTTGTAACGTTTGTCAATCAAATTGGCAGTAATTTTGGATTCTCATAACAGTACCGCAACATCTCCGCCCTAAAAATTATTAATATTGATCCAATTATGTATTTTGAAAATTTTGACACGTTTTCAACCGAATTGGCTTTAATTTGGTATTCTTCCGAATTCTTTCCGTTTTATTATATAACGGTAGCCCCACTATTCGATATTTTGAGAATTTCATTCTTTTTTTTTTTCATGACATGAGTTCCCTCCTAGGACCCCATTAATTTTACATATTTTGATTGTCATCCACATGGTGGAGGTTATTAAAGTAAGTATTATAAAGAACCAACAAAAGTGGCTGCAGCATGGAACTTCGACATTTCAGTTCAGTGTCCTCGTAGAAAATGTTTAATGTAAGTATCTAATTAAATATAACTCCCGTACAATTGACCCTGCCGAATCAAACACTGTACCAAACTATCACAACTTGAAAATGAATAAGCTTCTCAATAATAACTCATCGGTTTTCTAAGCAAACAGTTGCAAAATTTTTTGCTTCTTGTCGTAGCCATCCAGGTGGAAATGTGTCTCATCAGTCCATATGATTTTTGGATGGAATATCAAATCTTTTAGGGTTATCTTGAGCGACGTACATTTTTTCTTCACCAATTCACTGATTTATGTATAGTGATTAAGTGATTAACAAATTTTGAACTTCCCAAAAACTATAATTATACCCTTCACCACACTGTGGTACAGGGTATTATGTCTTTGTGCATATGTTTGTAACAGGCAAAAGGAAACGAGATAGACCATGGTTCCTTTTGAGAATATGCATAAAATCACTTTTTAAGTCGATTTAAGCATGCCCGTCCGTCTGTCTGTCCATGTATTTTTGTGAGCAAAGTACAGGTCGCATTTATGATCCGAATTGGATGAAATTTGGCACAGCTCATTTGTTTGGCCCAAGGACGAACGCTATCGAAATTGGGAAAAATCGGTTCAGATTTAGATATAGCTCCCATATATATTTCCGTCCGATTTAATGTAAATGGTGCACCAAAGTCCCTATATATCTTTCGATATGCACGAAATTTGGCATAACGTACTGAATTGAGCCTAGAGTGATGTCTGTCAAGTTTCGTGAAAATCGGTCCAGATTTAGATATAGATCCCATATATAGTTTCGTCCGATTTCATGTAAATGGTGCACCAAAGTCCCATATATCTTTCGATTTGCACGAAATTTGGCATAACATACCGAATTGATGCTGGAATGATGTGTGCTGAGTTTCGTGAAAATCGATTCAGATTATGATATATAGATTTTCGTCCGATTTAATCTAAATAATGTATCAAGTTCTTACGTTGCATAGCGTTTTGAATTTAATCCAGAATAATGTGTGCCAAGTCTAGTGAAAATCGGCTGAGATTTGGATGTAGCTCCCTTATATTATAGATTGATTTTAAGTAATTGACGCACCAAGGAACCAATATATGGCTGATAAGAACAAAATCAGTATCACTAAAATCAGTATAGCCAAACCTGTGACAAGTTTCGTTGAAATCGGTTCATATTTCGATATAGCATCCATATATAAGTAAATTGTGCATCAAACTCCTCATATTTGTTAGATTGACATCAAATTTTGCACAACGTACAAAATTGAGTAAAGAATAACGTAGTTGGGTTTTCTAAAAGTACAGACCTAGCCCAACGGATGACCTTTTGATATTTGTTTTAGGTCGATTTACATACTTTTGTTCCATTGTAACAAAGGAATGACATGTTTATGGATAGATCTAGGTCGTTTCACATGTAGATAAATATCACATATTTTATTTCATACAATTTCATGATAGTAGTCCTGTTTAATATATTCATAGTGGTGAGGGGTATTATATAGTCTGCCCCGTCCGACTTTACTACTTTCCTTACTGGTTTTCATATCGTTTCCTTGTGACCCTCCCCCAACTGGTTATTTACTTGCAATATTCCTAAATTCGATTCAACATGTGTGCAAACGTCAAACAATCAAATCCAATACATATGCCGGAATGTATATCCACAAAATAACCCGAGATTATTCAGAATAAAATACTTTGATAGCATATGGATTCATAAGTAGGTGTAGTCGTATGTGTGTATCATTTTATTTTATCATAAATACCTATATACATATTTATTGATAAGGCATTAAACTTTGATTTCTGTCATCTGGTTGGTGCCATAAACGATTACAAAAGTAAACTACTAAAAGCAAATAATAACAAACGCACACAGTCCAAATAAACTCACAATTCTATGCTGGATTCAATTAAAAGCTTTTACTTGGGCAAAAAGACCAATAAAAAAGTGATAACAATAACAACAATAACTATAATAATAAAAATAACAACGATGATAATGATGATGGTGAATCAAAGTGAGTATTGAACAAACATTAGATGTCTGTTCATAAGAAGTGTCAATAAAATTATAAATATAACAATTGAGTACATATATATATATATATATTTACAGAGTAATTACAGAGCAAATCTTTGATTTGAAGTAATGTTTCCTATAAAAGGAAAAATAACATTAGTTAGTATTGAATCCCTTTTATTAACCCATTAAATGATGATCATAAAAATCTATTAAAATTTTCTGAAAACAATATTCCAATATTAAACCATTTTTGAGGAATCACATTTAACTCTTTGACAGTACTTTAAAAATTAATCATCTGATTTATATACTCTCTCCTAAGAGAATTTACTGACTTACATAAACGTGTAACCATCCACCCACCCACACACATACCTTGATAAATCATTTGTCTTTTGATTAACTATAGAATCTGTCACTGCTAGATTTCCCACCCCCCTCATAACACCCACTGGCACTCGAACTTACCTGCAATCTTGCTGTCATAGGCAACACCTACACCACAAATTCCATTATCACGAGCAGCAGCAACTTCACCAGCGCAACGAGTTCCATGGCTGCCAGGAAAATTGAAATGAAAATCGAAGCAGAAGAAGAAGACAACAAGAATAACAAAATGTACTTAAACCTTGACCAATTTTTCTTAGCACAACAATGGCGGATTATTGTCATTGTTAGCTATTCTATGAAATCAAATGTGACATTTTAGTCTTGCTTACCTGTTAAACCAATCGTCTGTGTAGCGTGGATACGGGAATGGATCATTGCTGCTAAAATCGTAACTAGCTTCAGCATTCTGTGAAAGAGAAAAATAGAAAATGAAGAAAAATAGAAAAAAAGTAAATACAAAAATTAATAACATTTTATCGGGAAAAGGATAATAACATTTTCGGGATAATGTATATATTGGAATAAATGCTAAAAATATGAAATATATATTTTTTGTATATTTGTGTAGCAATAAAAAACCAGGGAACGGAGCAGTATAGACGGATGGGGCCAACCATATGATTCCCTACATAACTTCTACGCAAATCTAACTTTCTATATTCTGAGGCTGAGTAATAGTTCTTGATACAGATCCACTTTCAAACCCTGGCATATTTTCCAAATCTTGTTTTCGGAGGTGAATATTTACGCCATAAAATAAAAATTTGATTTTGTTTGGAATATTGACCGCTCATCATCTAAACAGCCGTTCTAAGTATTTGATCAGATTACCTTTACCGTGTAGAATATGTGACGTTCTGCATATAACAATGGCCTCTAGAGCGACTAGAGAATCAGACAAAAACAAAGTTTTGCCGAAAATTGCTACATAGCCTAAAATTGTAGGTATCGTCCCTGACCATATCCGGAACTTCATGTAAAATTTCAAAGCGATCAGCGCGACATTTACATCCTCTAGTGGATAATAGTAATATTAAACAATATCATAACACAAAGTCATGCTTATTCTTTTGCCAGATTTCGTCTCTGGTGTAAAATTGCGTGGCGTTAAGAAACATTTGAAGCCTCAAAAGTGACCAAAAAAAGACAAAACACCAGTAAGGAAAACCAGTAAGCAAAGTAGTAAAGTCGGACGGGGCCGACTATATGATACCCTTCACCACTTTGAGTATATTCAACAGATGAATCCTAACAGACGTCGCATTTTTAAAGGACCAGTAAAATGAAATTGGAACCATAAACACGTCATTCTGCAACAGATACTAAATTGTTCTTTTGGTCAGATATAGAAGCTATATCTAAATCTTAACCGATTTTCAGGAAACTTAACACACATCATTCTAGACCTAATTCATTACGCTGTGCCAAATGTCGTGCAAATCGAAAGATATATAGGGACTTTGGTGCACCATTTACATTAACTCGGACGAAATTCAGTTATAAAACGAGCCCAAGAACCCGAAAATACTGAAAATTGGGGGTACCCTTATGTGGGGTCTTTCCGAAAAAATTTACCTTTATTTATAATTTTTGGTAGGGAGATTTGCTACCCAATAAGAACACAAAGTACCAAATTTCAGCGAATTCGGTAGAAAAGTGCGATCAAAACCCCCAAAATACCGAAAATTTGGGGTAATCTTATATGGGGGCTATCCGAAAAAATGGACCTTTATTTATAATTTTTGGTAGGGAGATTTGCTACCCAATAAGAACTCAAAGTACCAAGAACCTCAAAATACCGAAAATTTGGGGGTACCCTTATATGGGGGCTATCCGAAAAAATTGACTTTTATTTATAATTTTTTGTAGGGAGATTTGCTACCCAATAAGAACACAAAGTACCAAATTTCAGCGAATTCGGTCGAAAAATGCGATCAAAACACCCAAAATACCGAAAATTGGGAGTAATCTTATATGGGGGCTATCCGAAAAAATTGATCTTTATAATTTTTGGTAGGGAGATTTGCTACCCAATAAGAACTCAAAGTACCATTTCGGCGAATTCAGTTAAAAACGCGCTCAAGAACCTCAAAATACCGAAAATTTGGGGGTACCATTATATGGGAGCTATGCCTAAACGTGGACCGATTTTCTCCAATTTCAATAGGGTTCGTCCTTGGGCCTATTAAGTGACCTGTGCGAAATTTCATCCAAATCGGATCATAAATGCAACCTGTACTTTGTTAACAAAAATACATGGACGGACAGACGGACGGACAGACGGAAATGCATAAATCGACTCAGAAAGTGATTCTATGCATATTCTCAAAAGGAACCATGGGTCTATCTCGATTATTTTTGCCTGTTACAAACATATGCACAAAAACATAATACCCTGTACCACAGTGTGGTGAAGGGTATAATAATAAAGTCGGATGGAACCGACTTTACATCGACAATGGAAGATGTCGTGGCAGATATTGAAGAAAGATCAGAGGAACCTATAATTGACAAGTCAAAAGTGTTAAACGCATTAAAAAGCTTCACACTATTGAAAGCGACAGGACCGGATAACGTCTTCCCCGCGTTACTACAAAAAGAGGCGGTTTTTTTATCACCACATCTAGCTGCACTCTTTAATGCATGCTTAAGGTGACGTACACACCGAAAGCCTGACAGAAAGTCTTCATACCCAAGCCCGGCGAGGCAAACTATGTCACACCAACATCTTATCGCCCAATTAGCATAACTTCATTCCTACTCAAAACCATGGAACGTACAATCGACACCATGATAAATTCTTCCTATTGGGAAAGAATCCTAACTTAATATGCAGGAAAGCCGAAACGGTACTAAAAGCCTACCATTGGGCTAAACCGAGGGGCTTAAACGTAAATCCGGACAAAACGGAGATATGTCTTTTCACTAGAAAGACAGAAATAGGTCAGAATGAAGAGCCCATCTTCCAAAACAAAACGTTAGCTATATCAACCAACGTTAAGTATCTGGGAGTAATTCTAGACAAGAAACCTTAAATAGAAAGTCAACATACAGCAAAGACTGACAAGGCCTATATATGCTGGTCATTCTGTGGAAGAGCCGTAGGCTCTAAATGGGGTTTCAGTCCTAAGATGATACACTGGATCTATAGAAGCGTTATTAGACCAATTATAACATACGCGTCTGTTGTCTGGTGGACAGCAATGAATAAAAAATGTAACGTAAAAGCGGAATGTTCAGAGAACGTGTTGCTTAGGTATATGTGTGCCAATGCGTAAAACACCAACTAGAGCCTTGGAAACAATATTATATATACATCCAAATAAAAAATGAAGCGGCGGTTACAGCTTTAAGACGCAAAGCAATAGACGAGTGGATAGATACCGGACACAACATGCCACACAGGCAACTACTAAGTCTATATTCCAAACCTTTGATTCATACCGCATACCTGAAACGAGAGTAGTAACACGGTGCACGGTGGTAGATAGAGAACAATGGAATAGTGGAACACTAGTTCAGATGCCGCTTGGTACCTGTTGCTACACAGATGGCTCTCAACTAGGAGGAAACACTGCACTGGGTACCGAGGTTCAAACAAAAAAAAGAGTGTCTTAACTGGTTAATTTCAAACCAAGGACAAAGTACAATAAATATTATTACGGACAGCAAGCAAGCTATAAAGCCAATATCTTCCAAAACAATTAAATCCAAAACTGTACTGGAATGTATAAATACCATTAATGATTTCTCAAAACAAGGACCTGTACGGATTATATGGGTACTGAGTCACAAAACAATCATAGGCCACGAGATAGCGAATCAACAAGCTAGGAATGGTGCTGCACTAGCCACAATAGATGTGAATACCGCCAAGACTTTTAGCGAAACACGCCAAGAAATAAGGAAATGGGCGAATGATACCCACAAAACCCTTTGGGAAAATGAGGGGACAGGAAAGAAAACCAAAATCTTATGGGGTGACCCAAACGAACACAAAACTAAGCAAATCCTAACGCTAAACAAAAAAGAAATAAGCCGACTGACGGGTATTCTCACGGGACACCTCAGCCAGAAAGCACATCTACTCAAGATTGGATGCGAAGGTAGCAGCATGTGCAGAGCGTGTGAGGAAGACAGTGAAACGATGGAACATTTCATGTGCCATTGCCCAGCATTTACATGCCTTCGGAGACAATTCTTGGGAAATGACACTTTTCACGAACTAAGAGATCTGAGGGGGTGTGAATGGAGAAGACTTAAGGAGTTCTAAAAAAACACGGAATTCCATAGGGGGTTCAGACCCAAAATTTGTTAATCTAACTTTCACTAAATCTAACTTTCTCCGCATTTCTAGAGCGCACAAGAAGCCTCAATTGGCTTATGTGTACGTCCTTCCCATGTTGGACATGTGGTGGTATTATCCACCCCTCTTTTCAACCTAACCTACCTACATGTGAACCGACTCCACAAACCTGCCATTCTGCAAACTATATTAAATTTTTCATTTGGGCAGATATGAAGTCGTTTGTTTCCAGTGTAATGAAATTGTGTAAATCGATTTAAGGGAACCCCACCCATTCTCGATTTTCATTTTTCAAGATTTTCAAAGGGCTGGTAAATCAATACCAACGCTTGTTAAGGTATGTAACTTTGCATATATATATATTTGAAGATGTAAAAGAGAAGAAAAATAATTTACAAAAAATTTGTGTTGTTGTTTTGTTGTTGCTTTTTGTAACTAAAGAAAAGTCCTTATTTTTGATGGCGGGCATGATAACTCCTCAATGGAACATCGGAATCCGAAAATTCCAACGGTGTTAGAAAGAGTACATGTCCGGCTCTCGTATGAACTAGGATTATTGACTTCGCTCTAAAATTAACAAAATGGCGGACCTTTGAAAAATATTTTTGGAAAATCGCCGATTTTTGACGAAAAACTAAGTTAAAAAATAAGGAAGATCTTCACCGATTAGCTTTATCCTAGTTCATACGATAGCTATACACTTACAGAGAAACGTGTAAAAATTTGGAATTGATTGGGTTTTTAGTTTTTGAGTTATCGTGCCCGCCATTCGTTTAGAGAAAAACGCGTTTAAAGTTTGAGAAGCCCTTTAGCCGTCACTTGATGCTGACAGAATAAATCGGCTATATCTTCAAGAGTTCTTGAGATATTTGTAGGGACATTCCTGATTTAGTGTAGATTCGAATTATGTCAAAAAAAATTTTTGACCCCGAGAATGGGGGGTCCCCTTAAAACAAATCTCAATCGTACACCCGGTCGAAAATACATACATACGCATTTCTACAAAACGCAATTACTTCCTTCTATGCTCAACTTTATAAGTTGTGCAAAATTTACTTCATTATACCCTTCACCACACTGTGGTACGGGACTCACTTTCT